AGCATAAATCTTGTGCTGATCATTTTTGTAGTGAGAGATGATCATGTAATGATGTAAATGTTTCAGCGCACACCCATTGGCCAGGAGCACTGTGACTCCGCCCCTCACTCAGCACGACAGCGATCAGGCCACGCCCCTGACGAGGAGACTGAGGTCCAGATTCTGCACAGTCATGTGACACAAACACATGTCTCCATGGGAACGAGGTTTATATGTTCTTGTGGAACATCCGACTGCAATCCCAGAGGATTATTCCAGGGTTCGGGATGACAGTGAGACTGAACACTGCACAGGAGGACTTGCACTGCAGTTCGTGGACAACACTTCTGATAAATGACGTGAACATGATCTATTGATCAGACGAGCACGAGAGGCTTCAGCATCATAATCATGTTTATTTCATGCTGTATTTTTGCATTTTTTGATCATCTCATTGTAGTGTCTGACCAGTTTCGGCAGATATCATGAGTAAATCGCTCAAGATAAAGCACTACTGTTCTGATAATAGCTAAATAAATTTTATATCAGAACTCTAGAGTTATTTTACACAATATTTTCTCTTTTGCAAAATCTTTTGGTGCTGCAACTAGTAGTAAAGAGGAAGCGATGATCAAGGCGTAGGCCAAGAAAGACTATATATTTAACTGAAGTTGAGCAGTCGAGGTTTTTACACTTTAAATGATAAAAAAGTCCCCTTGTAGTAAAAATAAAAAGACATATTCAAACGTTTTTTTCTTGAAAAAAAGTTCTTCATGCCTTAAAATATCTTGAATGTAACTCGACACCCTTGCCTCATTTAGTATACGCGGTTCTATGAATATGCAGATGAGCCCCGCCTCCACTCACTCACTCAGCTCAGAGATCCACTGGTTGACGATCACACGTTGATCTGATTGGTTACAAGGTCGTTTGTGACGTCAGAAACACCAGCGATTTCAAACCGTGTGTTTGAGACTGTCTTTGGTTCACTGCAGTTTTAAGCAGAAAATACTCAGCAATGCTGTCGACTTATGAACTTACACATGGTGTGTCTTAAAGCGTATTAACAACACCACATATACACATAAACTACATTAAACGCTGGATTTACACCACAGGGGGACTTTAATAACAGTTGTTGGTTTTTCTCCCAGCGCTGAATGAAGGCATAATATGAAAGTGACTACTGTGCACAGCCTAGAAATGTCATTTCATAATTGACTAGAAAAGCGCGGGCCGGTAGAGCTGTGATTTCTATGGAAGCTTGTTTCGGCCATAGAATAAAACATAAAAAAGGTAATTGTGACTTTTTATCTCACAATTCTGAGTTTATAACAGGCATTTCTGACTTTATAACACGCAATTGCAACTTTATATCTCACAATTCAACACACAATTGGGAGATATAAAGTCAAGAAAGTCAAGTCCAAGTCTGAGAAATAAAGTCAGAATTGCGAGATGTAAAAACTGTGTGTCGCAAAAAGAGTCGCAATTATCTTGTTAAAATGTTTTATTCTGTGGCGGAAACAAGCTTCCCCAGATTCCTCACCTGTCAGTGGTTAATATGTGTGATGTTCAGCATCTGACACGAACGATCCGCATGTTCAGCTGCATTCTCGAAGACCTTTCTCGAAATAAGGGGGACTCAAAAATAATGTATTAATCAATAATAACCCAGCTAACAGGGAACATTCTCAGAATTATGTTTTTTTGTAACAAATGTCATGTGTGTGGATTCTCTCTCTCTCTCTCTCTCTCTCTCTCTCTCTCTCTCTCTCTCTCTCTCTCTCTCTCTCTCTCTCTCTCTCTCTCCCTCCCCCCCTCTCTCTCTCTCTCTCTCTCTCTCTCTCTCTCTCTCCCCCCCCCCCCTCCCCCTCCTCTCTTTCTCTCCCCCCCTCTCTCTCCCTCTCTCTCTCTCTCTCTCTCTCTCTCTCTCTCTCTCTCTCTCTCTCTCTCTCTCTCTCCCTCTCTCTCTCATACATTCTACATTCAGTCTGTTCTCAGCGCAGCTCTCTTCAGTACGCCGGTATTCTTCTTCTTCTTCTCCTCTTCATCATGTCTTGTGCTTTACCTAAACTCAGGTCTGGATTAGAGACAAGATGATGGGACCCGGACTGAGCAGATCCCGATCATCATCATCATCATGAAACCTGGATACTCAGTAACTGACAGGAGAAGGATCAGTGCGATGGAGAGAGTGAGTCTGGTCGAGTGTATCCGGAGAACCAGGATCCCGACTGCATTATATAGATAAAAACACTGAGGTGAGTCACACAGTTTCATTTCACCAGCAGATTCAGAGTTACTAACTGAGATTAATTTACTGAAATATGTTTCCTCAGGCTACCTGTGTGATGTTTCGTGTGCATGTAGCCTGGTAACACTAGAGTAAAGCTGATTATTCTTTCATTAAAAGCCTTAAAGTCCCCCTGTAGTCCATCATTTTATCCCTTAAAAATCATCTTTGATCAGCAAAAGTACATATGTAAAGTTTTTTTCTTTGAAAAAATTCTTCATGCCTTAAAATATATTGAATGTAACTCGACACCCTTGCCTCATTTAGTATTCACGTGTATTCCCAGCATCGATCTCTGACAGAATCAGGGAACGTTTGATCCTCATAAAGCATCAAACTCCTTGAAACTGTTCAGAGATCTGCTTCGCGGTCCGTTCGATGGGTTTGCGTCACACACACACACAGACACACACACACACGCGACTGATTCTCTCAGCACACCTTGTTCTTTCTCAGCGTTTGTGTGAACTGAATTCCTGCAGCTCAGGAGCTCTCCCGGGTCGCAGGGTCTGTTGTTCAGTTCTTCAGGCTCAGATTATGGCTTTGGCTGAATATCTGCGCTGGTTTCTCAGCAGGAGCTCCCGACGGCCTCTTGCTTTGTGTTTAACGCTGGTTCAGACAGACACACAGGACAGCGTTTCTCTGTTATCAGCTCTGATCCCAGACTGAATTTCACCTGCTGCATTGGCCCTTAAAACTCATTATTTAAGCTACAAACTACATATTTAAGCGTTTTTTCTTTGAAAAAAAAAAATATATATATATCTTGAATCGACACCCTTGCCTCATTTAGTATCCGTGATTCTATGAATATGCAAATGAGCATATTAACAACATCACATCAGCATTGCGTGACTACTGTTACATTTAATGTGTTTTATGTCTACCTGTGTAGTTCAGAATTCATATTCTCCATAATAGCAAAACGAGAAAGGCACAACAAAGGAAACTCCATAACTGTGTGAATTAAGAAAACGTACTGTTACACGATTGAACTATTGAAATGTCTTACTTGTTCAGCAGAAAAAAGCCGTCTCTTCTTCCGTCTCGAACCCCTTCAAAACACGGAGTTCACGCACTTTTCAAAAGCCCCGCCGATGTTTAATCCTTGTGTTCGCATGAGACGGTTTCTTTCTCTTTCTCTAGCCACCTTAAATCCGAAGTACGAAGTCTTTTGGGTTTTATAACTGCTGAATCTCCAGTTGACACTGATGATTGTTGTTTGGATCTTCCTGGATGCCATAAGTTTAATTATGTAAAGTGCTGCGAGAAAAGCCTATACATCTAAACATCTCGTCACGCGCAGTATAGCCGGCTAGCCGAAACTCCTTCTTTATGTGTACGGGTGTGACGTCATGACGCAAAGACATGCTCGAATTTCCCGCGGAAACCCACCAGCACCACTGGAATAGGCTCTATGCACGAACGCTGCTAACGTATTTCCGGTAGAATCTCAGCCCGCGTCCTTACTTCCGCATAGCGTAAAGTGTATAGCTGCACAACTTTAATAAAATTAATTTTCTCAGAAACGAGACAACGATTTTAGAAACTGATTCGCTAGTCGGATTTCACATGATATGAGAGAATACTCACCCTCAAAGTTGTCGATGTAGCTCGAAAAATATCATTTTTAACCCTTCTCTTTCTTACTCTTATGTGTGACAGCTAACTGCCTCACAATATTGTAAACATCATTTACGTTAACCGCGGGAAGTTTTTGTAAACAGCGAGTGTAATTTGCCATTATCTCCAATAATGCAAAAAACCGGCTTCTGACGCAGCACCGGATGTAACTGGGCGGGCTGAGACAAAACGCGGAAGCGATCGTGCATAGAGCGTATTAAAATCATTATTACAAGCTAACCGTTTTGAATCTAGCTATGGCAAGCAGATAGTTTTGACCACTGGCAGAATAAGTTTTTTTTAATATAATTATTTTGGATTATTTTTAACTTAAAAAAGCTACGGACTGCAACTTTAAGCTCCGCTGCTTTGTTACAATCCACTGAAAGCTTGTATTCAGACCCGCCTCGACTTTTGAGAGCCACGCCCACATCTCAACATCCAATCATCAACCGATGCATTGAACCAAGTCCCCTTTTCGATAATTCCTTACACTCGTATATACGTCACAATACAGTAGAAAACATCTGCCACGACTTGCGTTTCATCACAAATACTATAATGGTTTATTTAAATCACAAACTATGAGCAATAACATTGATGCTTAACATCATGAAATCTGGTACATATTATATATAATTACTACTAATAAATATTAATATTTAATCAATATTTTTATCATCGCTTACTACAGTTGAGCGATCAGGTAATCAGAGCTGGTGTGAGTGGAGGCGGGGCTCATTTGCATATTCATGCTGCTCGTCTTACATTCAAGCTATTTTAAGGCATGAAGACATTGTTTTCACAGTAAAATAAAATTTTTGATGATCAAATAGAGTTTTAAGGGATACATTTATTGACAGCATGGTAGTGAATGAGTATATACATATAATCAATGCATTTTTCATGATCTAATCAGTGTATTGAGTGCAGTCTAACTCGTTAGGTTTAGGTGTTGGGTTAGTGTGTGTGTGTGTGTGTGTGTGTGTGTGTGTGTGTGTGTGAACGTGTGTGTGTGTGTGTGTATGTGTGAACGTGTGTGTGTGTGAACGTGTGTGTGTGCGTGCCTGCGCGTGTATGTGTGTGTGTGTGTGTGTGTGTG